TCCTTCCGTCAGTTAAATGGACAGGTGGCACGTTAACTTGCCAGCAAATCATTTTTTTTTCTTAACTAATGACATGACACCTTTTTTTTATAAGTTGGCATTTTATTTAATTTAAAAATAATGATTTTTTTTCCATCCATGTCATCTCTTCTTCCCCTTTCACTTTCTCTTTCTCTTGTCCCTTCTTTTTTCTCTCCAAATCAAACCCAGATTTGGGTTTTTCTTAAACCCAAATGACTACTCCAATACCACTAAAACGCAACAAAAGAGAAACTAAATCACAGTCTAAGAAAAAAAACCTCCATGTCATCTCTTCTTCCTCTTTCACTTTCTCTCTCTCTTGTCCCTTCTTCTTCCTTTCCAAATCAAACCTAGATCTGGGTTTTTCTCAAACCTAGATGACTCCTCTGACACCACTGAAACACAACAAAAGAGAAACTAAATCACAGTCTAACAAAAAAACCTCAAATGCATATTCGAATTTCACCAAACCAAGTCAAATCACATGGATGCGAATAAATCAAAAAGAAACAGACCGAAACACTAGAGACTCGATATGTAGCAAACTAGAACCCAAAATGCTGGCGAAATCAACACAGAAACCAACGAGAACTGGTTTAAAGAGAACCGAAAATTCTAGTTGCATCAAGACTAAGAAAAGTAGCAAAATCAAGACCAAGAATCAACCACAAGAGTTCAAAAAAATAGAACAAAAATGAAGCTCTCATTAGTGGCTAGCTCGTTCTTGAGAGAAACGGAGAAGAATCTTTAAACGTAGAGAAAAGATAGGGTTTCGAGATAAGTTTTGGTCCCTCATGTCTTGGTGATTTTTACGGATTCTGCTACGTGATTGAGGGGGGATTTGAGGGCAAAAGGGTGTATTTGAGACAAACCCAGGGCCCACTGATTTCAGCACAAAGTACTGTGAGCACACTGGACACTCATGTGGCTTGCCTTTCTCCAGCCAAAACTAGACAACATCATGCTCATCCTCGCCTTCAGCTCCTGGGCACCCAACTATTCTCGTCATAGAAGGATTTGATGACTGCAGGAGCTTCCTTTGTGCCAAAAGGACCAACAAGATTGTTAAAATCTTCAAGAATTTTCCACCCCTGAAGTTCAACTTCAAGCTCCTCATGCTCATGCCCTGTGGCAATTAGATTTGTGTCCTCAACCCTCTTCTTCACAGTAGTATCTACTAATTCGGAAGAGAAATGGCGAGTGAGGAGAGAAGTGGAGGTGGATGGAGAAATGTAGAGTTTGTCTCAAGCCCCGATCTGGGTTTGTCTCAATGATTTTGTGGCAAGATAACGTGCCACTTGTCACTTAACTGATAGAATGACTATTTTGATACCGAAAATAAAAGTTTAAGGATAATTTTGATATTTTTTAAAATTGAAGGACAATTTTAATACCAAAGTGAAAAGTTGAGGGACCAAAATGGTACTTAAACCATAAAAAAAAATCTACTCACATTATTTTAAAATAATGGTCATTTTCTCATTTTCTTTTCAAGTTAAGGATTTATGAATAATATACATGTTTATTGATATTACCTTTATAACTTAAATACTCTCTCTGTTTGATTTTAATATAACTAATTTTTTTTTGTCTACTTAAATATGATTTCTTATTGAATATATGTTGTAATTTTTTTTTCAAAATAAGAGCAAATTTTAGTTTTTTATCTAATAAAATAAAAATATAATAATTTATTAATAAAATTGTATATATCTTTAATTTAATATCATTAAATAATACTTCTTATTTAATATATATTATAATTATTTTTTTAAAATAAAAATAAAATCAAAATAAATATATTAAATAACACTAGAAAAATAAATAATTAAATTTAAACATTTAAAATAAGAACTTAGACCTGTTACAATCAACTGATAAAGTAATTATCTTAAAAATGAAAAGTAATAACTTTAATTCCATGGCCGTGCATAATTATGAGTGCTCTGTGGGGCTGCTGCCCCTTGTGCAATGATTAGTCCTTTGTCCTCTCTCAGAAGCATCAAACTTTTAA